GCCACCAGGGAGGGCTGGATGTAGCTAGAATTTTAAAAGCATCTGCACTTGACTGGAAGCAGCCAGCTCAGGCCTATCTTCTTAGCTAATTAACCAAATGAGCTGTTCTTCCTCATTCTATGGTTTAATGTCAGGATGTGGGCTTGCTGCAGACTTTAATGCCCAGTTCAAAATCTTCTCTCCTATGACTAGAGGAGATGGTTTTCTTCCTACCAGATTTCAAAATATGGTCTTAAAAAAAAATGATATCACTTTTATCTATCATGAAAATTAAGTCAAAATGGATAACAGGTTAAATATAAAAAGCAAATCTAGAAGATAACATAGGAGAAAACCTAGATGACTGCGCATGGTGAAGTCTTTTTAGATGCAACACAAAGGACATAATTCATGAAAGAAAGAATCAATAAGCTGGACTTCATTAAAATTAAATACTTCTGCTCAGTGAAAAGAATGTGAGGACAAGACACAACTTGGAGAAAATGTTTCAGAAGACACATTTGATAAGGGACTAATGTACAAAGAACTCTTAAAACTCAACAATAAGAAAACAACCTGATTTAAAAATAGTTCAAAGATCTTAACAGATGCGTCAACAAAGATGCACAGATGACAAACAAGTGCTTAAAGATATTCTTCATCACATATCAGCAGGGAAGTGCATGTTAAAACTCTAATGATACCAATAGGCATGAATTAGAATGGCCACAATCTGGAATACTGACAACACAAAGTGCTAGTGAAGATGTGGGCAAAAGGAACACTCTTACAATGCTGTGGGGAATGCAAAATGTGCCAGCCACACAGAAACACATTACAGCTGTTTCTTACACAGGAAAATACATTCTTACCATATTAGACAGTAACTGAATTCCTTGATATTCACCTAAAAATTTATGTCCACACAAAAACCTGTACACAGATGTCTATACTAGCTTTATGCATAATTGTTCAAAACTTGGTAGCAACCAAGCTGTCCTTCAGTAGGTGAATGTATAATGTGTGGTACATCCAGACAATGGAGTATATTTCCATACTAAAAAGAAATGAGTTATCAAGATAGGAGAAGGCACGGGAGAGCTTAAATGCATATTTCTAACTGAAATAAGCCAATATGAAGAGGCTTCATATTGTATGACTTCAACTCGTGACATTCTAGAATGGAAAAAAGCAAACTATGGAAGGCAATAACAAGATTGCCAAAGATTAGTGGGATACGTGGGGAGTAGAGTAGATGAATAGGCAGAGCACACAGTGCTTTTAGAACAGTGAACAATCCTCTGTGTGAGAAAATGATGAGATATGCCATTATGCACTGGTTAAAACCCACAGAACGTACATCAAGAGTGAACTCTAAAATAAACTATAGGCTTTGGGTGATCATGGATGTGTCAGTGTGTGCTTACTCTTGATTACAAAATGTACCATTGTAGCAAATGATGTTGATAATGGTAGAAGTTTTGGATGTGTAGGGGCAAAGGGAATATGGGAAATCCCTGGACTTTCTTCTAAAATTTGCTGTACACTGAAAACTGTTCATAAAAAGTATTTAAAACATATTTTTTAAATCACTGAACAACAAAAAGGAACCTAGGGCAGAAACAAAATAAATTAATTTTAGATCAATCCAATGTCTGTTTCTTTGACTTTGTAGAGCAGGTTCAAGGATCATTTAACTTAAAGCCCTGGAAAGTTAATTGTTAACCCTTTCACCTATTTAAGCTGAGGTTTAGAAAATACACTTAAAGACTACTACTATTACACTTGTTTTTCTTTATAAAAGACAAACAGATCAGACTAAATTATCCCAGACGCAGAGTAAGAAAGTTGTATAAAAATCCTGGTTCTCAGGCGAGAAAATAACAAAAATAATGAACAACCATATACCAGAGACATTCTGTGGGGGTGGAGTGGGGAATGGGATCAAAAAGGGGGGGGGAGGGGGGAAGGGAGGGAAATGCATGGGACTATGGTGGTGGCACAGGGGTGATTTGGTGATGGGAAACCCACGGGGATTACAATCGAGAGGGAAAAAAAATGTGCAAAATGATGTAAAAATAAACTTTGTAATAAAAAAATAAAAATAAAATAAAATAAAATGGGAAAAAAAAAATCCTGGTTCTCTGTTTACTAGGACTGGGAATAAGGGCAAGATGACTCTTATCTTACTCAATTTTAAGAGGCTAAAAATAATACATGTCCTTACACTCTCATTATAAGGATTAAGTAAAATATCTGATAAATTGATTTGTAAACTGTTATACTCTGTTGTATATTATTAGTGACTGTATTAATTACCTAGAAATCTGTCGATATCGGTGATCTTGGGTTTAAACCAGCTATGACACAACACTGAATTTGCTGTTGGCTCAAGTGTGATTTGTAACTCTCATAGAAAGGAAAGTCTGGATTGAGGATATATCCCAGCAAGTTATATTCATAAATGAAATGTAACAGGACATATGGATGATTAATTCCAATTAAATAGACAATCTCAACTAAACAACTATTTAAGGATGCTATTTATTTTTAACAATTTTATTTAATTTTGTATAGAAGAACTGGGGTGCAGGCCAGAGATGTGGGGGTGGGGGTGGGGGGTGGTTTAGAGGATTCACCAGAGACAGAGTGTGAAGCAGAACAGGTGGATTGACTGAAATACACTGCTGAGGGGAACTGGAGGTGAACCAGGAAAGTTCTGCTATGCCTATGTGGATAAGTCCCTGGTGGGGGATTGAACACAAGCCATCACAGTGATAAGGATGAGATTTAACCTCTAGGCCACCAGGGAGGCCCTAGTAATACTCTTTATGGCTGGCCCTCCTCACTCTAGACTTAACCAAGAACGCTTGTCCCTAGGTTGTCCCAACATATATGCGAAGTCTGAGTCTATCTTTGCTTAGTCACATTCACATCCTATGAACCAAGGATTCTGTGGATTTCAGCACCGCTTTGACTCATTTTCTGGGTCAAAGCACCTATTCCGCAATAGCAAGGCAGTTAATGAAAGGCTTTATGTCAGACTACACACGACTACCACTTGTTAGCTGTCACACAGGGATGATTATGAGTCTCTACTGTTCTAGGAGCTTTACATATATTTAGTTATCATTTATTATGCCCATTCAGGCACAGAGAGGTTCAGAAACTTTTCCAGACCTAGTTGACCTTAAGCAGTTGGGAGCCTGATTCTAACATCTCAGCTATTAAGACAAATGAGGCTTAAACAACACTAATCTTTAATTTCCTTGGTGGATTTTTCCATGGATACATAATTAAGCTGTTACTATTTACCTAGTCATGTAAGTTTTTCTAAAGAAATGTATGAAATTTATAGGCAATTCTTAGAATACAGCTAATAATAATGAAGGACACACAAAAAAAGGCTGGATTAGGAAAGGAAAAACCAGTTTCTAATAAAATTGAGATCAAAGTCTTCACCTGTGAAGTGGAATTTCACCGATTCAGGGAGACCTGGAAGAACAAAGGAGAAAATGTCAGTAAACTATAAATTCTGGGTTCAGGAATAGATGGCAAAGGTACAAAACAGGGGACTTAGGTTAGGAAAAGAAAGACGTTTTAATCTAAATTGTTATAGTTGAAGAAAAGATCACCAGGTCATTTGCTAATGTTATGTTGAATTTAATGGTGCCAGCACTAATTTTAAGTAACAAAAAGAACCACATAGTGGAATAATTTTATCACAGCAGTTAGGGTGATTTATAATACATTCATTCAGCTCTCATTTTATCAGTACATAAAAATCCTACAAATCAGCGAATGTGGGTGATGCTGTATGTCACTGACAAGCCTCTCTGGTAGGTCAATTCTATTGTAGAATTGAGTGATGCTTGGGACATTGATTTACACACTGTAACAGTCTGAGAGATTTATCTTGTGGCATTTATCCCATATATTATACAGGACAGGACTCTGCTCTCTCTAAAAGGGCTCTAAGAACTCAGACGAGTACAGTACAAAGAGAAATAGCTTCAACCATGGCTGACGTTTTCTTTCTGTCTAATCCCAGGATATCCTGAGTTTCTTGTAAAAGTAGGTCTTACAAAGTAGGGGTTAGAGAACCATGACCATTCATGGGCTATTAGCTACCTATTTATTAAACACTGGGGATACGCAGATAGAATCTGGTTAGTAAAGAGCCACATGCCAATCCATAGAAAAATTCAGTCTAATTGAGGAATTAAATATTTTCTGGACACATGCATTTATATAAATAAAGCAACTATTGCTTGAAGTCCTTGTCATAATTTAAAAAGTAACACTAAAATTACTGAATCCATGTTCAATTCACCATAAGAAATCAGCAGCTGTTCTGTATGAATAAAGCTACTCTTGATATATGAAACAATAATACTCTCTACTAAGCATGCTACACAGACATATATCTTAAAGAAATATGCTTCATGAATTTTAGCATCACTCCAAGGCACACACACATTTCCAGTCAGCAGTTTTAATGACTGGGTCAAGGAGAGGAATGGGAGGTAGCAAGAATTAAAACTATTTGGTTTAGTGGGAGAAGACATACTATTTGAATTGGAAGCTTGGTTATTCCTGTGTCTTCTCTTCCTTTGAAAGGTACTTCTGTTAAATCAAAAAGTAGCCTCCTTTTTCCATTTCTAGATGGGACCTTCTCTGAGGTACTGTAGGATGGTCCTCACCGGATTCCCCTCATCCACCTTGACCTTCTCAAATCCACCTACATCACTGCCATTCAGAGTTCCTTATGAAAGTCACTTATTCCCTTCCTTATGTCTTAAAACCTCTTGGTTCCCATTATTTTTGGGATGAAGATCTAAATCTTTAGTCTTACCTGGGCCTCTGAAATATGGCCTATATCTCTCCCTCAAGTTTCACCTCAGGTTGGCCCTCCACATTTCAGACAGACAAGCTGACTTTTTTCAATGCCCGGAACATCATATTCTCTCCTTCCCCTGATCCTCTGCCTGTGAGGTGCCTGTCTTTCCTTCAGAAATGTCCCCCTGACTATTCCAAAATACACACAGCCTGGTTATTCCAACATACATACTTATTCTACCCATACCTCCACTGCCTAACCTCCTGCATCTCCAATGACCCCTGTTTAGGTCAGTCTTCTAATTCCACTGCTGAGCCTCTTGCTTCTTTTCAGAGCTCTTATCTCATCTGCAATTAATCATTCATAAATAAGATTATTTAGCAAGTTCTGTCTCTATACCAATATACCCAAACTTATCAAGAACAGAATTCATGTCTCATTTTTCCTCACCACCATAAAACTCTTCAGGGGCCTCAATCAGTGATTCAAAGGAAGCACAGAATGAAAATATTGGAATTATTCTTGCACACATGAATCAATGACAAATGATGAACTGAGCCCAGACTGCATCTTGACTGACAGATCTCGAGCTATTTGAAGAGCTATTAAGCAGTGTCACCAAACTTGCCAGAAGGACTATAGGAAGAGTCAGGGTGAGCATGCTGTGTAGATACACAGAACACATTGGGGTGTTCCAAAATGGAGAGATGCATTACCAGCGAAGGAGAAGGGCATGAGCTCCTGAAGGTGGGGAGCTGCGGATGGAGGACGGTACATGATTTTGCCCCGGTTGATGTCGTCCTGTGAGAAATACCGGATGGCAGAGTGAGGCTGGTCCTTGTGTTCAATGGTACCTGGAGAAGAGGAGATTCACATGAGCACGATGGTAACTGACTGAATGACTCGGACATATAGCTGCTTTCCACCGTGATGTCTTACTGCTCAGGAACACTTGCTCTCAGGCTGCTCTTGGTATATTATTCTGCACTTATTCAAGGAAAGGGCAAATCTGAACCTCAAGCAGGTGCTTGTCATGGATTTGCTGACTATGAGGAATAGTAAGATGCAAACTATTGCTCTTAATGCAGTGTAATTCTCCAGAAGTCATCAACCCTGCACCATAATTATGAACACCTCCCAAATGAGTTTCAGTTCAAAAGTCAAGGTCACAGAGAAAATGGCCCAGCGTGGTTTTGTGATGATATTGTACAGTGATGTTCTCACTCTATCTTCTTCCCCTCAGAGACTCCTTAGTCTCTGTGATGATTTTTTGGCAAGGGTAACATGGTTCTTGATTATTCTAAAAACTGGATGGGTAATTATCGCTCTGCTTGTGACAGATGCTTCGGAGGCTGCAGATTCACCTGTCATTTTTAAGTTGTGCAGGTACAAAACTAAGGTCATCTTTAATGTCCTAATAACTCTTTAAAAGGAGGGCAGCTGTGGGGCTTGTTGTTGAACCAATTCAGCCTCGGAGTGGCCGAGAGACCCGTGATCATTCTCCAGCAGTTGGGCTGCAGTTCATCTGTACCCTGGCAATGTGGGGAAAACCATTCTCACTACAACTTGACAGATTAAAAAAAAGAGAGAGAAGGATGACTTTTAATTTCTGTTGACTTTATCAGAAGGGTAAGAGAATTTAATTTTTGGACTTTTGTTTTTCCTTGAGAATTTGATAATATGGAAGGCCGATATCTAGGGCTCTGGTTGGTTTTGGGGAGGCCAGCCATAGAGAGAGGAGCAGCAGAGCTTTTATACAAGTTGATCTTCCTCTGTGAGGGACAACTGCCCCTCTGTCAAGCATCCACTCATTAGTTAAAGATATCTAAAGGCTGGAGGCTGAAGACAGGGGCCACTTCTCTGCCTGGAGCTCTCCACTTCCATGTTCCTCTATGGTTGGACGAGTGCCTGTCTGTGGCCCATGTTAGTCTTTACAGAGCTCCTTGTCCTTAACACATGCTCATTCTGGTTTGCTCCCCAGACCAGAATGAATCTTACCATTCTTACAGTCAACCTTAGCAAAACAGGCTCTGTTCCTACAGACTGCCTAGCTTGGGAGGAGGCCTTCCAACCAGTGACTACAGTTATAGAAACACACATACTCTGTGTTCTTCAGTACAGCTCTGTCTACACCAAAGCTGACACATTTATCTTTAGCTGTCTGACCATAGTCTCTCTCTCTCTCTTTTTCTTCTCCTGGTTCTAAATTCAGGAGATAGGCCAAAAGAGTATGAATAGTTGTGACTCCCTAAATCGTTAGCAAGTATAAACAGACAGAACTCTGGAGCTTTTAAGATTGGTCAACACTATTTTTCTTTGTCTCCATTGTACTGTTCAAAAGAACTAGATACTGCTTTTCTTTTCCAGTTTCCACAGAATCCCTCAGACAATCCTTTACTGCACATCTTACCTTGACTTGGATGCAGAGGTGAAGTGATATTATATATAATGTTTCCACCTGATCTTTCAGAGTTTGCAAAAGAGAGGGAATGTGGCTGAATCACAGTTAGGCTATCTTCCCGAGCCTAAACAAAATTTAAGAAAAAAAAAAAATGGTGTGATTAAAAACAAAAGCTGAAGCAAAACAAACCTTACTAAACAAACCAAAGCAAATTCACTCTTGGCTTTTAAGTTCTAATGCAGGAGAAACACAAAATTTCCTCCCAGAGTTTAAAAGAAAGATCTGGTCTCTTGCAGGGCAGGTTTGTCCTGCCCTTAGGAATCTTACAGGGTTATAAAGTCCGCCTCAGGTCTTGTACTCTGGATCTTCTCCCCCATCTCCCTTGCCCCCAGCTTTATGTTGGAGTAAGCTGTGGGAGTCCCTATATGATCACTTTTTCCTACATGGCACTCACAGAGGTACATGTGTCAAAATGAGCCTTCACAGCTGGCTCTTCTACTCTTCCATGATTCACAGCAGGAGCCTTTCATCTCCGCTCCTCCAATTTAATGGGCTAAAGTGGTATCTGGTGAAAGAAGTTCTCCCAATTCCCCAGCTTTGCTAAAGGGAACTATGATGCTTTCCGGTTTCAAAGGCTTAAAGATGAACTCAGTCTAAAAACTAAGGGACTTGTCATTTGAAATCAGAGGCTTAAGAAGTATTTATTAAAACATATTAAAATAGTCACTATTTTTCTTTGTCTCCATTGTACTGTTCAAAAGAACTAGATACTGCTTTTCTTTTCCAGTTTCCAAGATCCAGTAAATAAGTCAAAGGAAATTAATCAGAAGACAATTCTGTATAGACCTTTTACTATTCATCCACCTATGTACATCTATAACCCACAGACAATGGCAATGCTCAAAAATAAAGAGGAATAGTAAATTCCTCTTTATTCCAAATTTATAAATAAATTTGGAATCCCTTGACTAGGTATAACAGTGAATTGGGGACAGCAGCAAAAACAGTGTAGAGGTAAGTTGGAAAGGTGGTGACCCTTGGCTGGGTCACAGAAGTTGTTTAAAAAGCAGACCAAAAATATCCAGCTCGTTGCAAGGTAGCAAGCTCTTTCTACTGACCCCTGGAGGGTTAGAGTTTGACATCTTCTCCTGCTCTTTGAAGCCCTGCTTCTTTCAGAAAGAATTTCCCCATTTAGGAAAAGATTAAGTAGGGCTCAGTAATTCTCATGGAGGAGGGTGTGGTGTTCTTTTTAACCACTAAAAGATTGAAGGTTGCAGTTGCTTTGTAATTGTCCCCAAGGCATAGGAGTCTTGGAGACAGCAGCCACTGCAGGTTGGAACAACCCCCTTATAGTAAAGAGTCGTATTTCAGGCCATTGAACAGGTCTGGAATGTAATGAGCAAGGAAAATCAGAATTGCAAATAGCAGCTGGTCTCTCACCCTAAAATAAAACATGTAAGGACAACAAATTAAAAATGTGGACCTTTATAAGGGGGTTACAAACCATGTGTGTGTGTACACACCTATGAAGGTGTACACATATGAGTACAGATATGAGAGGAAGCAGTGGAAAGAAGTGCATTATTCGATACTGCTTCCCACTGTATAATCTCAAAACCCTCAGCACAACTGAAAATTATCAAAGTATTACGAGACATTTTATAAACCAAGATGTCACTAAAACAGTAAAATGGTAAGGAGAGGAAATTATTATGAACATAGGACTATGAAATATGGAAATTAGTTTCATCCAAGATAGCAGATACTTTATTGTGGAATTATTGGTACTATTTCTCTACTAATAGAAATGGACACTAGGCAGAAAAAGTAAGAACTTGATCATCTGAAGAAAGCAATATTGAGGTTGAGATACACCAAAGTATAATCAATTTTAAATTGGCTATTTGAAATGTTCAATATTTATCAATTAAACATAGCAAGAAACGAGATTGAATTTTATAGAAATCATTACCAAAGATTTTTTTTCATTAAACTCTGTCAACAAAAGAAGATCACAGAGTAATGGTTTTCATAATACCCATATTACCTCTTAGTAAATTCAGAATCCAACTGCTTCTCCTCTCTTCCTTCCCACCACCCTCCTGGACACCACACTCTGTGACCTGGCAGACCACAGGGGCCTCCTAACTGCTCTCTTTCTCCCCCTACAGCCTGTTTCAGCACAGCAGCCAGAGACATCCCGCTAAAAATGACGTTAATTGGAATCTCTGCTCAATACCTACAACGTCATTCTATTTTATTCAGAATAAAAGCTAACTTTTTACAGTGGCCTGTAAGGCCCAACATAATCTGCATCCTCTCCCTCCTCCACCCCCTTACTATCACACACTTAGCACATCGGTGAATTCATGCCAATGACTCTTTTCACTCAACCTGCTCCTCACATTGGCTTGTTTGTTGTTTGAAAATACCAGCATGCTCCCAATTCCATGCCTTTAACCCCATGGTTCCTTAGGCCTGACATGCTCTTTCCTCTTCTATCAGTCGAACAATCACACTTGTCTCCTGCAGGTCTTTCTTTAAATGTCATTGTCATAACAAGCCTACTCTGACCATTTTATTTAAAACTGCAATGAGGGCCTCCCTGGTGGCCTACAGGTTAACTCTCAGCACTATCACCACTATAATGGTGCTAACCCTGGCCAGGGACCCACATGGTGCAGTAGACCTCTCATGTCTTGCCAGCTGCTCTCCTCAGCAGTGTATTTCAGTAGATCTGTTCTGTTCCCCACTCTGTCTCTGGTGAATCCTTTCATGCCCTCACACCTCTGACCTATACCCTTCTTCTATAACAAAATACAAAAAAAAACTTAAACATATATAAATAAATAAAACTGTAAGCTAGGTCTCTCATCTGCCTCCACCAATAAATTTACAATCCCTTTAGCCTTGATTGTCATTTTCTTTTTATAATACTCCTCACTGATTTGCTATATGTGGATTATTCATTACTATTTATTGTTTATTTCCCCCTCAAAGAATATATATTCCCTGGATACTTACTCAGGTACGGATCCCCAGCATATAACACATGAAAGTACTCAATAAATATTTGTTAAATGAATGAAAAATACCATTATAAAAAGAGTAAGCAAGGAAACAAACAAACAAAAACATTGTAAGAACATTATCAATAATTTTTAAAGAATATTTTCATTGTATTTCATGCCATCTACAGAATCAAAGGCTCAACTATTTTTACTCTTAAGCTGTAGCAAAGCGTACATGACTTAAACCTTTATTCCAGACTTAAACCTTTATTCCAGGTCAGTATTTATAAACAAGGTTATCATTTCACCCTCCATTAAAAGAAAGATCAGTTTCACATGCTATCATTTTACCAAAGCAGCAAAGCCACTGGCAGACCTGAGAAGTGAAATGACCGAATAATGACTAAAAGATAATATAAGTAAAATGGAGGTTCTATAAGAACTCATGTCAGTTTCACTAGGAAAATAATTTGTTCATACACGCAGGTAGCAGGTATTAAGTAGGAACCTACTATGTGCAAGGAACCAAGCAAAGAGCAGTGGGATATACAAGCTGAATCAGATCTAGACTGTTTCCTTAAGGAATTCCAGTTTTTAGTAGAAGAAAATTGTAAATAACTAATGCAGAGAATGATAGTAGCATGAAAGCCTTAGATAAAGCACAACAGACAGCCCAAGGATAAAGAAACATTTCCAGAGATAATAATGTCATTAGTGTATGAAAGGTTGTAAGAGAAAGCATGGGCACAATCATAAAATGAGTACAGCATGACCAGACTTGATTCTGCATCACTAAAGAGATCAACTGCCTTCACTAGACCCCTGCCAGACCCAATAAGAGAGGTTTTAAGAAAACTCTTAAGACCTCAATCACCATGGAATCCAATGAAATCAGCAAAACAAAACATAAGACTCATTCAAGGTTGTTCCCTCAACCAGTGACCACAGACAACCCACCTCTGAACACAGCAATCATCCAAAAAAGGAAATAACAAATAGTTCTTTCACATTGAGATACTAGAGTTTATTTCTTCCTTAAGAGCAGGAATAAAAATATCGTATTTGAAATGTGTGTATGTAGTAGCCAACTGACTTTTTTGTTATATGAATCTGAAGGTGATACAATTTAGTCTATTAGCTGAGGGAAAGTAGGTGTGACAACAGTCATTCAGTGAACAAATACTTACGAAGTAACTATTCTAGATAGGGCATTGTGCTGGATGTTCAGAAAGATACCAAAATTAATAATCATAGATTTTTACCCTTAAGGATCTTCTAAGACAAATAATAGATGATTTACTTTTTTTTTTTGGAAGGATTTATTTATTTTACTCATATGGAACTGGGGTACAAGCCAGAGGTACAGAGACAGTGAGAGGATTCACCAGAGCGAGAGTGGGAAGCAGAACAAGCAGATCAACGAAGCACACTGCTGAGGGGAGGAGAGGTCTGCTGTGCCATGTGGGTCACCTCTGGGCGGGGATCGAACTGGCACTGAAGTGTTCGGTCCTTACCCATTGTGCCACCAGGGAGGGCCCGATTTACTTCTTTTAAGGTTGGTATAGTCCATTGTTGCATATACCCCTTTATCCATTTATTATCTGTTGCAGTACATTTAGTTAGCTTCCACTTCTTGGTTACTGTGAGTAATGCTGCAATGAAGACATGTGCACAAGGACCTCTTGAGATCCCAATAACTCTTCTGCATGGGGTTCACCCTGCTGATACTTCTTCTAGATTACTGTAATAGCCTTTTTCTTGGCCTCCTTGCTCCCTGCTTGGCTCCCATCCAGGTTGTTCCCTGCCCTGCAGTCAGAACGATCTTCCTAAATTGAAAATCAGATCGTGTCACTTCTCTGCTATGAAGCGTTCGACATCCTACTTGCCCCAACAACCTTTCAGGGCAAAATAGAAATTCCTCTACTTATCTTTAAGCTACTCTATGATCTCACTGATCTCTCATTTCTTGTGAGTTTTTTTTTTTTAATCCAAGAGTTTATGGTTCAACCAATTGAACTCTTTAATTCCTTGAGCATGTCAAGTTCTTCTGGTTCTCCATATTTTTTCACTTGTTGCTCCTCTGCCTGTAATGAATTTCCCCCTAGTTTGAGTCTAGGTCAGTGATTTTTCAAGTGTGGTGAGCAGAATAAGCAGCAACCACATTATCAGGGAACTTGTTAGAAATGCAAATTCTCAGCCCTACATCAGACAACTGGTGAGGGGTCCAGAGACTTGTGATTTAACAAATTCCAAAGGAGGATCCTACAGCAGACTGAAGTTCGGGACCCTGCTCAGGAGACGATTTACTCTTTAATTAGCTTAGCTTACTTCCTAGAGGAAGCTTTCCTTAAGCCCTATATCCCCTTGACCAGGCACTCTCTTATTTGTTCCCCTAGCATGGCTCTGTCATGGCATCCATCATTGTGTTGCTGCTATTTATTGCGTGGCTTCCCATTTAGATTGTAAGTTTCTTGAGAACAGACTGTTTAATGGTTACTGAAACTTAAATGTCTTCCACAGCACTAGGCAAAATTTAGGGGAACTAATGCATATATGACTTTATGACTGAATAATGGGAAACAGACTCCTATACTTAAATAGGAGTGAATACACTTAAATGGTGTGAATAAGGACCTCCCTGGCAGTGCAGGGTTAGAGTCTCAGTGCTAACAAGCTAATGCCAGTCACTTCGATATAGGCTCCACCTCCAGCCAGGGAGCTGATTCACATGGCCCAGCAGACCTCTCCTGTCTTGCCCGCTGCTGCCTTCAGCAGTGTATTTCAGTAGATCTGCCTGTTCTGCTCCCCATTCTGTCTCAGATGAATCCTCTCATTCCCTACACTCTGACCTGTACCCCAGCTCTGTATGCATAAAAAAAGAACCTTAAAAAATGACATGTATGTGGCCCTCCCTGGTGGTGCAGCGGGTTAAAGCACAGCACTGAGAAGCTAAAGCCACTTCAGCATGAGTTCGATTCCCGCCTGCCCGGGAGGTGACCACATGGCACGGCAGACCTCTCCTGACCCACCCGCTGCTCCCCTCAGCAGTGTACTTCCTCGATCTGCCTGTTCTGCTCCCTGCTCTGTGTCTGGTGAATCCTCTCACCCTCCGCATCTCTGGTCTGTACCCCAGTTCTGTATGAATAAATAATCTTTTTTAAAAAAATGACATGAATATACTTGTATACTTAGCATATGTACTCATAATGTTTACCAACTATTACAAAACGTGTGTGCCTAGAGGAGTCTACAACACTGAAATGAGAATGTGTTCTGTAAGACATCGCAAGTATGTTCTGCAGTAATTGCCCTGACTAATGCCAAAAGAAATATAAACTGTGTGTGTTTTTAAGGAATGAAATACTAGATCAATCACATTATATGCTACGGTAACCTCTGTGAGATTCTAAGGTATGCTGGACACACCTAATTTGCAAACATCAACTTGAGATCCTAAAGGATAAATATCTTGAAAAGCTCTAGTATCTAGAGGTCCACAGCAAGAGAGCGGGAATCATCTTCCTGGCACCTGGCCCATTCATTTCTTCTAAATTCAAAATAATACTGCATTAGCATTTGGCAAGAAAAGTGTATGCACATTTTTCCCTACACTTTAGAGAAAATTCTGATCCAAGTTCCTCCAGTCAGAATGATGAATTATAGACTTTACAGTGTTGCTGAATTATGATTTCTTTAAATTACGGTTTACGGTGGAAATGCCGATACCAGCTATTCATTAGAAACTTTCTATTTCCCCTTTTATGTCTCTGTCGTGCCCCAGACCCATAATTTCTAAAACTATAGCTACTGTCTTTGTTGTAGCTCAGGGCTGATACATTGTTTTGGAGTGTAATTATGTGGGCACTAACTAAAACGTGGGTCCATCATGATTAATTTACAAGGGCTCATATACTTATAACTCTATCTAGAACAGCACCAGCCCTCTAGATATGGGGTCACAGTGGAATTGCTAATTGTCTAAACTAAGCTTCATGTACTAATTTGGCTGGCAACTTTCCATGCGAGCATCCTTCTCCCCACACAGCATACAAGGCTCCTGTGTTCTAGTTCACGACAATATCCTCACCACATTTCCTCTGCCTTCCTGCTTTCTCCATTGATTTGCAATTTCCCCACCACTCTTCTCTCTGTTGGTGTTTTTTTTTTTTTTTGCATGTTCTGTTTTCACATTCGGTAGTGCCTTTTACTATCACTTCTCCTCTCCTTCCTACTTGCCCCTCAAACTTTCACTTGGAAAAGTCCATCTTGTATCTCTGGATTCAGAATAGACATTACCTTCTTCAGGAAACTTATGATAGAAAGAAAGCTTCCTTTATAGGGCTTCTAAAACATAGAATAAAGATTTCTCCTGTTAGGAGACCTATAGTTGACTAAATAATGATATCGAATGGTATTGATTAAATAAACATAAGACTGAATCCCTTCCAAATATGTAGGGAGAAGCTCTTTGTCCAGAGATACAAAAGACATCAACAATGGTTCAGAGATTGAGGTGGAGTTTAAAGGGAAACCTCCTTTATACTCTAAGAATTTTAAGTTTCCTTCTCAAGTCAACGAGAAATGTGTACCCAGAGCTGCTATTGCTGCCCCAGAGTCTGTGTTCAGGGCCAGGCATTTACTATATATAAGAAAGGCAGACTATCAAATCCTTCTCCAAGCTAAGTCATGACCTCCACCCTCAACTCACTGTCATATGGAGAGATGCTCCCAGGGAGAGCTTTGGAGCATCAGGCGTCTGTGGCAAGATGGCAATGTTGAACATGCGGCTCTCCAGATGGGTGTGGGCATCTGTGGCACTGGACACCTGAAAGCAAAGTCACCAATGAGTCCCTCATTCTCTACTTAGGTGAGTATGTTTGCTTACATTTTTTTTTTCCATTTAAACCATATTTCTTTGAATTCCAATCCTTCTGTATGCCAATTTTTACCCTGCTTTTCATATTTTAATATTAATTTTCTTATAATAATATTTTATTTTAACATCATTTTGTGCCTTTTTCCATCTCAGTTGTAATCCCGTGGGCTTCCCATCACCAATTCACCTGTGTGTCATCACCATAGCCCTGTGCACTCCTCCTCCCCATTTTTGATCCCATTCCCCACTCCACCCCCTGCAAAATGTCTTTCATACTCCTGCTATGAGTAAAACCATTTGGTATTTTTCTTTTTCTTTCTGGCTTATTTCACTAAACATAATCCCTTCCAGCTCCATCCATGTTGCTGCAAAAGGTACATCTTTTTGATAGCTCAGTAATATTCCATTGTATATATGTACCACATCTTTTTAATCCAATCATCTACTTTTGGGCATTTGGATTGATTCCATGTCTTTCCTATTGTAAATAAAGCTACAATAAACATGGGGGTGCAGGTGTCTTTTTGGATCAGTGTTTTTGTATCTTTTGGGTAGTTTCAAAACATCTACATATTTTCATGGAAATATCTTGAGTGTTGCTGTAAATGATACTAATCACAATAGCCACAATTCACTGAGCCTTTTATAAGGGGCTTAGCATGACACTAATATTTTTTCAAGATTTATTTTATTAATACCCACAAAGTAAATATTATCTTCTTTTTTCACAAATAAGAAAACTGAAGGCCAAAAAGGTTCAGCCAAGTGTCAAGGTCACAAAGACAATAGGGGCAGTAATTAAATAGGACAGCAGGTTCCTAATCTTCCTACTGTCCAAGGTGAGTCAGTCTTTTAGCTTTAGGAAATTAGGGGCAAAAAAAAAAACCTCTATTCTACTATGTCTAGAAGAAAAGCAAGGATGCACAGTTCAGGCAGGGATATGTGGGGCACATTACTGAGCAAGGCAATCAGTTTTAATTTTCCAGTTAAGGACACTGGTGTAAAATAGGTTGGTCTTTTTCAAATCATGTTCCCTGAAGTCAAGTTAACATGATTTGAACATACCCAAACCGGGGCACCTGCACAAGTCAAAAATGACTGTAAATCACATGCTTTGCTCTCACTCTATACATACTCTCTCTATATACATACTTTCTCTCTATATATATATATATTTTACCATCACTTGTAGCACATAAAACCAAGTCTTACATGCAAAGGAACAGATGGAGTGCACTGATGGCTCATGACAGCACATCAACATTAAAATGGAATTAAATCCATGCAATTCACTGCATTGTATTATATTGTATTTTCTACTTTAAGGGGAAAAAGAAGAGAAGAAGGAGAAGAATCATTACAGCAGCATCTTTCTTCATTTAAAATTCTCTAGGGACATGGAAATGATGAATGGGAAAAGTTGCTAACCATTTATTTTAGCACATAGTTAGAGTTTCTGTGTCATTTCAATCAAAATATGAGGTAAGCCTATAAAACAATAAGACTTTAAAAACAAACACAGAACTTTTACATCCAGGAAAACATCATTTTGGAGAGTTATTTCATATTGCAATAAAGATTCTGCCAGTGTTCAAAATGTACTTTTGGGGACTTTTCAGAGGGAGTTCCCTCCCTCTAAAAATCATGTAAGAAAACTAAGATTGATACCTTCTCATTTCTCCCTGCTTTAACCAAAAATAATTACTTCTTTTCTTCTTACCAGACATGATTCTGAAATACTTTGGCAATTTGACTACATGTCAAAATCCATTTCCAAAGAACTATATGCTGTCCCCATTGCAGGTATTCTGGAATTGGTTTTGAAGATTTTAAGCAGGAGTTCTACACATGCTTTGACAAAAAGTGTGAAGATTTTCCAAAGGGACCCACTTTCTAACTAAAATTTGGAAACTTCTAAGTATATAGGCTGTCAAACGCTAGGGATTTTTTTAAAAAACAAAATAACTTTTGTGATTTTACAATTACCCACTTACTAGCCAACTTGAGAAAGCATTCAAGTATTGTTTTGAGCAGGTGCTGAGAATCCCCTTCCAGGGAAACACTCCATATTTATAATGTTTTTCATCCTGATGCCTGTAAGGCAAAAGCTGACCTGCAAATTGTAGTTTGCTAAGGTGACAGCTTTAGATTGAGGTCTCTGCCTGCATTCTGAGTCAGTCTTTGAGAACTGCTGTGTTACCAGGTGCTAAAAATGAAAAGTTAACTTGGGCAAAGGGCACATAATATTTGCTCACTCACTGGACATTAAATGTGCTCAGTATAATCTCAATTTACCAGTTTCTAAATTTATTTCAATCTGTTCTCTAGAAAAGCACATCTTCTACACAATATAAATTAATCACGCAATGAAGATGTGCACACCAGCCATCAGAAACAGAATGGATGATAATTTTAACAACGTGAGCTATCACAGTGATTTATCCCCAACTGGATTCCTAGACAAAGAGTCAGATATGGAGGGGACAGGATGCTGCTTTGGTTTAACACCAGGAGACCTTCTTTGCATTTTCTCTGATACTTTCCTGATTTCTACTCTGCATCTATGCCTAAAGACTCTTTCTCATTCATAAATCCTCATTTCTTTGTAGTTCTGTTCAATTCTTTATTTCCAAATGGTGGTAGGCAGAAGCTTGTCTAGTTTTATTGGTCTTTCCAAAGAATCAGGCTTTGTACTCATTTATCAATTCTAGCATTTTATAATTAATCAATTCCTCTGCTTATCTCTATTAATTCTTTCCTTCTGCTTTTCTTAGGTTTCCCTTGGGGTTCCCCAGCTTCTTGAATTAAATATTTAGTCCATTAATTTTCATGCCTTCTTACTCAATAACAAGAGCTTAACGCCATCAATTTTCTTGTGAGGACTATTTTGTTCACATCTTTTAAGTTTTGGTAAATTATTTCCACCTCATCAGTATGTCTTAATAGTTTGCCACTTCATGTTCCTTCTAGTAATTATTTAGAAGACTACTTAAAAAATTCCACATAGTTTGGATTTTTAAACCATTTTAATTTCTAGTTATATGTACAAATAGCCAAAGAATGTGCCAGTATATTTATTACTTTAAACTTATTGACAATCTCCTTATGGTTTGTTTGTCTTGGTTGGTTCAGGTTGGCTCAGGTGATGATACTATTAAATGCCATAGACTGTGCCTCTTACAAACAACACAATATAACTTCTCATAGCTATGGAAGCTGGAAGTTTGAGATCAGAGTACCAACAAGCTTGGGTTCTGGGGACAGTCTTCTTCAGGCAATTTCTCATTGTATAATCATGGTGGAGAGCAAGCTTTCCAGTGACCCTGGTATGTGCACTAATCCCACTGATAAGGGCACCAACTTTATGATCTCATCTATTGCTAGTCAGTCACTTACCAAAAGCTTTGTCTCCAGCTACCATTACATGGGGGAAGGTACAGTATTTCAAGGTGGAATTTGGTGGGTGGGGTGCACCCAACATTCAGTTTATAACTAACACTTAATCAATTTTTGTAACTGGTAACAACAAACACCACATGATAGGAAATATTCTGAATGCATCATATGCATCAACTCATAAAATCCTTACAATAATTCTGTTTTGCAGGTGAAGAAAATAAAAGCACAAGGATTTTACCTAAGTAATTTCCCACAACTTGTATAGTTAGTCTATGGCAGAACTAAAATATGAACCCATTATTGCCAAGTCCATGATCTTACCATAAGATATTAAATATTCCAAAGACCTCTTTAAAAAGCAAGTGCTTTCCTGCATGCCATTTTAATTCATTCTTTTCCTGGATTCTCTAAGCCATTGTTAGAAACCTCTTTGCTATGGAATGATTCTGCTTATAGAGACACCCATACAATTCAATTGACAAAAAAAATCTCTAAACACTGTTGACAATTTTTTTTTATTCCTTGATTTTTCAGGCAACCACACAAAATGAGCTGTTTATAAATAAGGGTGATGACTTCATTGGACCATCATACATCAGAAAAGTCAGGGAGCAAAGTGTACCTGAAAGCGGAAGGAGTCACTCTGGGCTGGGACTCCTGAATGCCTGTACCACAAGATGCCTTCGTCGATGTCTTGCTGGGTGAAGGTGCTGGTGGGGGTTGCTGTCCTCCCATCAGGTAGGTGCTGCCTTTCGTCTGCAGGGCTGTCCGCGGGCATATTAACCAGAAGGACCAGCTCCCCTAGGAAAGTCACAGTTAGTGTGGACCCCTGAGAAAAGTGAAATTATGTCTGAGACTTCATTGCCTTTTATTTTACCTTTTCTATATTTTAATGAGAAGAAAAAGAATGCACTTTTTTATTTTTACTCAAGGTGAAGGAAAGGACATTAACACAGCATCCTACAGATAATTGAATCCAAGTTTAGACACATAAGTCCCATCTTTAAGCTAGCAGGAATAAAAGTTATTCAAGGATGAGGATGAAGTTCCTGATTTATCTATTAAACTTACATAAGGAGAATACTGCAAACAAATACTCAGGACACTGACTAGATTTATTTCCACCTAGAACTTTCTATGAAAAACAAAATTTTCCAATATGAACTTTTTGTTGGTAAAGATAGTGAAAATTTTAAAAATTTCCAAAAAAGGTTATTCTTGGGATAATTCTATACAGTGAAATGAATAACGAACCCTGGAATGTATATGGCAAACACTGCATGAAACCCTTTACAGGACAGTTCAAACCCAGCTCCAACCTGTCTAGTCGTGTGAGCTTACTTTAGGCTCTAAAAGCCACTGTTCCTCAGTATAAAACAAAAGCAAGAGCACATACTTCATGGGAATGTATGAAGAATGTTGGCTCTCCTCTTTGTTGTTATTTATCTTTTTTGGTTTTATAACTGTTTGATGATTGACTCAGGACACATAAATTGACTCAAGCTGGCATTTGAATCTAAAGCTGATATACGTGGGCATGAAACCGTTACCAAACATGAATGTTTCCAAGAGGAAAAGTTACTCTGTTAAAAACTGATGTGTGTTTTTTCCTTCTCCATTCTCTGAACTTTATTAGAATTGGAGCAAAAAAAAATCTAAACCTAAACAATACTAGCACCATTAATCTGTTTCTATTGCTTATTGTTCACCTGAAGCTACTGCGTTCTGAAAGTGAGACTGCAAACAAAGAGGTATTATAGAAACAATTAAAGTTTCACAAGGAAAATATACTGTCACATGAAGATCAAACAGAAGAATAGATAAACCGTTAAAAATAGAAGCCATGTTCTCGTGAAAATGCATCTGACAATAAATCTGAAAGCTTCCCTTCCACTCAGATAGTAACAGTAAGAGGGATAGATGAGTATGTGTGTATGGTGTGTGTGTGAGAGAGAGAGAGAGAAATTTCTATAGGATACTCAGATGTCAGTACATTTTAGGCAATTGATAGGGCATTTTGATTACTCCAGAGAAATTTGTTTTCTTGCTCAAAGGCAATACTGTAATATTTATATGCCCTAAATTCAAGTTTAAAATGAGCACAATATCCTGAATGATGATGAAACACTGAAGAGAACACCAATATTCTTCTTTACATAATCATATGTAGAATCATCTCTACTGTCTTAACTGTATTCTATCTCATTTGTACATAAGTCACAGATTCTATTACCCAACCTCTCCCCGCTTATATTTCTATTCATAAGATAAGCATACTTTTCCAGGATATGGACAGTTTATAACTGTGAATACATTTGCAAAATACTCTGAAGAAATTTTCACAGTGAAAATGTGAAGAGCTGAAGGATACAAAGCATTCAAACATCAATTTCCTGGTTATTCTGGTTCATGATCCAAAGGCTCAGCAGAATTTACCTAACAAGGGCTAGTGAAATAAACCCATTTTTGAGATTAAAAAAAAAAATCACTGCCAAGTGAATATCAGGACTCACAGGATTGTGACTTGTTTAACTCAATAAATAATTGGTGAGTAGCTACTAGGTGCTAACTTCTACTGTTGGTATTTTAAGGAAGGGGAATTCACAGATAAGCAAGATGTAGTTTCTTCCTCTGAGATCAGCCCCATAAGCATCTGCAAGCCATTGTGAGATTTTAGTAGGTAAATGGCATGAACAAATTTGGAACACAGAATGTATGAAAGCAAGAGAACTTGGCAAAGCACTGAGTGTGAAGGATGAGGAAGAAACCTACTAGGTTGGGTGACAGGTAGGGAAGACACAACACTGATGGGGTAAGCAAGCTGGAAGGAAGATGAAGTATCTAGCGCGAGAGATATTGCATGCACGGTGCCTTTGTGATCAGCCGAAGAGTAGAAAGGGGAAAATAACAGTAATTTACAGAGTTTCACCCCAGCAAGGTGAGAACCTTGGCTTTTATCATAAAACCACAAACATGAGATAATGACACTGTATATTAAAATCCAGGTTTAAAAAAGCAGTCCAAACTTAAGAAACAAAAGAATAACATCTATTTGGGATTTCCTTTATATTAAAGTCTACATTTGTCTATTTTTATTTATGCATTCATGTAAAAACTGAGATACAGAACAGCGGTTCAGGCGTGTGTTTGTGAGAGGATTCACCAGAGACAGAGTAGAGCGCAAAACAGACAGATCACCTGCGATACACTGCTGAGGGGAGCAGAATGTGAGACAGGTCTGCTACACCATCTTAGTCAGCTCCCTGGCCAGGGATTGAACTCATGCCGCAGTGGCTGGTGAGAACTTGATCGTGCTGAGACTTTCACCCCTGCACCATCGCAGAGGTCTTAAAATCTATATTTTAGGGCCCTCCCTGGTGGTGCAGAGGGTTAAAGCACTGCATTAAGAAGCTAAAAGCCACTTCCACATAAGTTCGAACCCTGCTGCCCCAGAGGTGACCCACATGGCGCGGCAGATCTCTCCTGACCCACCCGCTGCTCCCCTCAGCAGTGTACTTGTTCGATCTGCATGTTCTGCTCCCTGCTCTGTCTCTGGTGAATCCTCTCACCCTCCGCATCTCTGGCTTGTACTCCAGTTCTGTATGAATCAATAAATAAATCTTAAAAAAAAATCTGTATTTTAACCAAGAATTCTGAAGAAAGAATTAAATGGGAATTTCATTTGGCTCCCCAGGGATTATTTTGAGATTGAAATAATTCGTACTAAAATTTTCTTACAATATGCTAAATCACTTTGTGTTGGTACTGTGTTGGATTAAGTCAGATTCTTCCCTAAATGGGATTCAAATTGCTTCATGAAATCTATCTCACTAAATTTGCCTGTGAAGTAGCTGAGGGTATGAGTATAAGTCAACTTGTCTAAACTTATATTTGAAAACTGTGATGAGTCTGCAAGTGAATTTAGGTCCTTCATGCTATGTGAGCAATTTCCATTTGGTTCTGTTCCATGGCCAAATCTTCACAAAAAGCCTGAAGCCCCCTGGAACATTCTAAAGAAATAATGAGTAGACGGTAACCAGGTGGTGTCAACACATCACTGGGACAGATGGATGTCAACAGTTTTGTGTTAAGTGGGATTGTGCTAAGTGGGCTTTTCGTTCTCACTACCTTTTCCATTTCTGAATGGTCCCACAGGGTAATGTGACTTGATTATTACTAATGAGAGTTCTATACACACAGAAAGATTATGTGCATGGGAAGAAGTTAATGAGAACAGTTATAGTAGGAAAGAGTCATAAACAAGCCTGTGTCGCATTTCTCAAGATGAACCAGCTTAAACAGCATTTCATTCAGCATTGTAATAGTTAATCCTTAGAAAGAATATCAAGTTACTGGGTTGTCTTCAGGAAATTTGGATTTTAGTGACTAAATTCTACCTTAGATATTAAGATAGAGGCTTTAATACATCAAAAGAGTAAGCTTTTTAGAGCTGAAAGAGACAAATATTAATCTAGCTAAAAGTCAGTGGATAAAAGTATGGCAAAATTGAATAAAGTCTGTGGATTAACTAATAGCAATCTATTATTGTTAATTTCCTAGTATTGATCATTGTTCTGTGGTTATGTAAAATGGTAAAGCCCACTCAGGAGCCCTTTGTGCAGCTTTTGCAACTTTTAGTTCGGTTTAAAATTATTTTAAAATAAAAAATTATCTAATTTGGGCCCTCCCTGGTGGCACAGCAGGTTAAAGCACAGCGCTAAGAAGCTAAAGCCTCTTCAAGATGAGTGTTATCCCCACCCCGGAGCTGACCCAGATGGCCAGGAAGACACCTCTCCTGACCTGCCCGCTGCTCCCCTCAGCAGTGTACTTGGTCAGTTCTGCTCCCCACTCTGTCTCTG